AAACAGAAAAACACTGAGTCCACAGACTCAGGACCGTGACAGTACCCCCCCTCAAAGGGCTGGCTCCCGACAGCCCCAAACAAAAAAGGCACAAAGCACCAGGCCAGGGTGGGCGGAGGGGCCCAGGATGGAGGGACAGAGACAAAACAAAAAACAAGGAGCACAAGAGACCAGAACAAACCAAAAACAGGTCAACACAAAACAAGACTATCCACGAGTCCATAGCAAAGTCGACAACACAAGAGCCGAAACAGTTCAGGGGGCCGACCATGCACACGGCAACGGCGGCGACGGGCAAACAGTTCTGGAGGTCGACCGTGCACACGGCAACGGCGACGACGGGCAAACAGTTCTGGAGGCCGACCACTCGGAAGGCAGTGGTGGCCACTGAGCAGGTCTGGAGGGCGGCCGCGATGCCAGCGGTGGCGACGAACTCCTTCCGGAGGCCGTCCCCGAAGGCCATGATGCCAACTTAGCGGCCTGGAAAACGGCTGGCAGAGGCGAGGCGGAACAGGTCGAGCTGGCACCGACGGCGGCGTGGCAACCGCAGGACCAGACGAGGCAGGACCAGACGAGGCAGGACCAGACGAGGCAGGACCAGACGAGGCAGGACCAGACGTGGATCAGCCGGATCAGGCGAAGATGATGAGGATGCGGAGGCCGGACCAGGCGAAGATGATAAGGATGCGGAGGCCGGACCAGGCGTGGATGACGGCAGCGGGACGGCTGCGGAACCTGACGGCAGCGGGACGGCTGCAGGAGGTGATGTGGAGATGTGCTGGCTGGGTCCTCCAGGACCACCAGCAGATGTCAGGATGTGCTGGCTGGGTCCTCCAGGACCCTCAGCTAACGAGGCGTGGGGCCGGGTGGGCTCCTCGGACCCTCCAGCAGACGTGGCATGAGGCCGGACAGGCTCCACGGGCCCTCCAGCAGCCGACACTTGAGGCTGGCTGGGTTCTCCCAAACCCCCAGGAGACGAGGCAGGACGCTGGTTGGGTTCACCTGAACCCCCAGCTAACATGACGTGAGACTGGACGGTTGACTGAAACAGAAGTTGTAGTGGTGGTCGCGATGATGGTCGTGCTGGGTGTAGTGATGGTTGTTGAACATGCAACAGAGCGGGTAACCGACTCTCAGCAACTCCTCTCCGGGGAACAGGGACGGGTACTGGGCCTGGTCGAACCCCAGCCACCGCCACCTGAAGAACAGATACAGGGCCAGGGAAGAGCTGTGTTCTGGCTGCCGTACCCCCGGGGGCCGGTGTGGGTGCAGCAGCTAGCTGGACCACTGCTGCTCCCACCCGAGGAGCTGAAACGGGTGCAGGAGTCAGCGGGGTCTCAGTTGCCCCCACCCAGGGAACCAGAACAGGCACAGGCAACGACCGGGCGCCCACCATCCCCGCCCGTGGAGCAGATACAGGTGCAGGGATGAACGGAGCCATAGTCTGCCTGGGAACTGGAACCGGACGCAGAGAGCAGAGCAGAGGAGCTGTAACAGTCACTGGGAAAACCAGGTTTATGGTACCAGACATGGTTCTAGAAAACCGAGACTCACGGCAGGCTGACCTTGGTAAAACCGCTATTCTTAAGTTGTCCAGGTTGACGTTAGCAGTCTTGGAAAAAACGAGTTCAGGGGCAGTCACAGGTGCTGGAGGAATTATACAAGCGGTATCTGAAGAAACTGGGTGTGAAGCAACATAAAAACACAGTCTTACAAAACGCAGCCTGGGAAGTTGCACACACAGTGTCCAGGGCTACTGGCTGAAAAGCACGGCGCACAGAGTCATACAAACATGATCGTGGAACCGAAACTTTAACTTGAGCAACCACTTCTGCAGTGTTCGAACCAAGTATTTTTGCCAGCTTGGTAACAGCAGATGACACCTGGTTGGTCTTAACCTGGACAGTCACAGGACGTATAGTCTGGAAGAGTTCACAATGAGCAACACAAACAGTCTTTGAATAAGCAGACTCCAGGCTTGTGAAATTTAACTCGGGGGAGGTTATGGAAACATGAGGTTTATCATAGGAAGCCTCAGAATGAACTGGCTGGTGAGCCACGTAAACCATGGGTGAAGCAACACCAACAACAGCCTCATGAGGTATAGCCTGCACAGCATAGATGGAATGTGGCTGGGAAATTGAACTGTCCCTGTTTAGTTCAGCAGTAAGAGAAATAGTCTTTTGAGCTGCATCTTTAATGTCCCGAGTGAGATCATGATTGCCCAAGCCAGAAAATTTCATAACAGATTCACATATATAATCTACATCTGGAAACTCACTATTAACTGATCCAAAAACAGGTGGCTCGGAATCAACATAACCTGCCTGAGAAGCGAAAACAGAAACCCCAGTCTTTTCAGAATGAAACCCAGAAACACCACTCTCAGTTACAGGACAAATAACCTCTTTTGACTCTGAAATAAGGTCATCTGATTCCTGAATATTCTCAAACTTTGAAGAAACAAAAGAGGGAAGATGAGAATGCTCAGAGTCCCGAAAGACAGCCTCAGAGTCAGCCATCTTGGGATCATTAGTTTCTGTCTTTGCAGGCCCTGAGTTAACAGTCAAAAAGTTAACCGACTCCGAATTCGCCGGCTCAGAGCTGGAAATTCCCAGCGTGGAAGAAGCCGGGTGACAACTGTTCTGTTCACTCACCACGTCCAGCAGTTCAGAACTGGACTCGGGTTGCGGTGAGGGACGGCGACGACGAGAACGCCGCTTTCTCTTAGAAACCGGAGCGACAGAAAAAACGGAGGGTGTCGGAGCAACAGTGACTGGTCCCTCATCCTCCGACCACATTCCTGCCAGGCATGAG